CGCCCGGCCTCAGAGCAGCTTTATTCTTAAGATCCAAATAACAGAAACAACTTATTCCATGTATTTTCATAATAGGCTACTAAACAGCAATTAAAAAGAAGTACTGCTACACAAAACATGGATGAGTCTCACAGACAAAAAGATGAATGAAAGCAGCTAGACACAAAAGAATACATTTTCTATGATTTCCATTTAAGAAACTATAAACCTGTTTAAAAACAGATAAAAACTATGTAACAGTGATAGAAGTCAGAATAAGGTTATTTCTGGGAAGAGGAGTATCAGTTAGGAAAAGGCATGAGGGAATTCTCTAGAGCTGGCAATATTCTGTGTATTGACTGGGTCTTGATTCCATATGTAAACATTCCTCAAGCTGTACACTTAAAACTTTTTGCTCTTAACTGTATATATTCCTTAATGAAAGATATAATAGATAAGCTGTTTTGAAAAGGGTGAAGATGAACCGATGGATACCTTCATTTGGTACTTACTTTGGAAGCTGCCCAGTCAATCCAGCCTTTAGCGCAAGGGTCAACATTAATGAGCACAAGGCCTTCCACAAGCTCTGGATGATTGAGCTGAGACAAAGACAACAGTATGAAAGTTCCACTGCAACAGTTCTTCTAAAGAGTTGGAACATGCTTTATCAGTTCTTACTATGCCTTAATGCCTGACATTTGAAAGTAAGACTACACAGAGGTGGCTAGGAAGCATATATAGAAAAATAGCTCTTGAAATCTGACTTAGCATCTGGAAACAAGTTTCTTTTTTTTTTTCTTTGAGACAGAGTCTCGCTCTGTTGTCTGGGCTAGAGTGCCGTGGCATCGGTCTAGCTCACAGCAACCTCAAACTATTGGGCTCAAGTGATCCTTCTGCCTGAGCCTCTCGAGTAGCTGGGACTACAGGGATGCGCCACCATGCTCAGCTAATTTTTTCTATATATTTTTAGTTGTCCAACAAAGTTCTTTGTATTTTTAATAGAGATGGGGTCTCGCTCTTGCTCAGGCTGCTCCTGAACTCCTGACCTTGAGTGATCCACCCGCCATGGCCTCCCACAGTGCTAGGATTGCAGGCGTGAGCCACCATAACTGGCCTGGAAACAAGTTTCTTAAATCACTATCAAATGATCTTGCCTCGAGAGGATCTATAGGGAAGACAAGTCTT